CCCCAAAAATTCGGGTCCAACGGCTACAAAATTTTCGGGCAGGTGGGGCAAAATTCGGGCAGTTCGGGCAACGGATAAAAATCCGACCGTTTGGTTCAAAAATTTGGGCAAAATTCGGGTTTGGGTTCGGGTTCGGGCAAAAGACCGTTTTTTTTCAAAATTCGGGCATTTTCAGGCTAACGGTCATAAAAAATTTGGGTAAATCGGGCAAAAATTCAGGCAGCTTCGGGTATTTGCCGGAAAATTCAAAAAAAATTCGGCGAACGGCGGGGGAAGGCTTCTCCACGGCGGCGGGTTGTCGGGGGGCTTACCATTTTCGGGCTACCCGAGCCCGTGCCCGAAGAAAAACATTTTCGGGCGGCGAGAGGGGCCTGCCCGCCGTGCCCGAAAATTTTCGGGCGGAGTGTCTAAAATATTGTTACGTTAAATAATGATAATAAATTACATCAATTAATAAAAAAAATAACAACTCACATAGGGACGTTTGGTTAGAGGATTCATACTATGATTTGAATCATAATTCATGATTCGTTATAGTATTTTCTCTCACAAAAAATACATGTAAATAAAAAATAATTTTAATCTCATGATTCTAATTCATGAACCAAACGTCTCTTTGTGTGCGTAGCATAAAGAGGTGCGGAGGAAAGAGGGAGGGCGAGGTAGAGAGAGCGACAAAGAAGAAAGAGAGCGTGACATTGACATTTTAAAATTTTAGGTACGTTTAGGGGCATTTTTGATAATACATTATATGTTAAAATATCTAATTTGAATTTTTATGATATTTACTAAACATTCCTTAATATCCGCTTTTAATTTTAATTACCCCTCTCAAATATGCTATTTCTTTAATTCACTCTTAATTTATTTATTTAAGGCTTATTACATTGACATTAAGTCTTATTCCATTGACATCTGTATGTTTTATGAAAATAACGGCACTCTTCTGACTAATTATAATTTACACCTAGAGTTAAATTTAGATGTTAAAAGACAAAAAAGCCCTATTTAATATCAACCATTGATCTTAAAACGCCAAATCTCAGCCCTCCATCGTACAAGTTCCTAATTATACTAAAAAAAAAAAAACCTAAATTTCATTTCCCACCAGCCCCACCCAACGACCGACCTCCCTTCCCCGCGGCCGTTCAGCTTCCTTTTCCGACCTGCCCATCGTCCGCCACCGCGCCGCCCAGCCTCCGTCGCCAGCCCACTGGACTTCGCAGACGCCGAACCGACGTCGATGCCGTCTCCATCTCCCTTCCTTCGCCACCTCTCCTCCCGAAATGGTATTTTTGTTGTAAATGGAATTTGTGAAATTAGTTTGTATGATTGTGGAATTAGTTTGTGTGATTAGTTGAATATTGTAAATTGTGGAATTTGTGTAATTAGTTTAGTTTTGGTTTTGTTAAATTAGGTTGCTTAGATTAGTCTGTGTGGTTTTGGAATTAATTTGTGTGGTTAGTTGATATTGTTGCTTGTGGAATTTGTTTTGTATAACTAGTTTGGTCACAGTTTTATTGATATTAGTTTGGTTTTGGTTTAAATTCTTGATATAAGTTTGTGGGATTATGGAATTATGGAATTGATTGTTGAAGTTGAGCTTACACTGTGATTAGTTATGATGAAGGCCATTGGTTGATTTTGCAGTTTTGGAGAGGTAGACATTGATGTTTCGTTAGTTGCTTCGAGAAATACTGGGGCAAATCAGAAGATATTGTCATGCTGAATAACAGTTGCCTTTGATAGGTGATGTTGCGAGGATGATCAGATTAACAATGCTGAATCAATGACAAGTAACTCTTCTTAGAGAGCACAAACAGAAGCCTTGATTCATTTTGATTTTCGTTTCATCAATATTTTCCGCAACAGAGGCACAACAAAATGATTCTCAGGAGGAAATTCTGCAGTTTTCACAGAAACCCCAAAAACCCCTTTAATCGTCTCCCATACGAGAACCCCAGTTATTATAACCATGATCTCTACACTAGCGGAAGAAGGTTCAGCTTCTTGAGCTCTATAATGGTTCCCAAGTTGTTTAATTTTTCTGAAAAACCCAATAATTATGTTATGTTTGTTAAGAATTCTAGTGTGTTGGACTATAATTTCCTTAGGAATTACTGTTCTGTTGTTGAGAGTGGTGATGTGAAGAAGTCAAGAGAGTGGACTGAGGAGGATATTGAGTATTTAGATGAATTGGGAAGTGTTATCTACACTGGGAAAGGTGTGAGGTCGGTTGAGCCTGGGGTTGACGACCATATCATGGTAGGCGGGCTGAAAAAACCGATTTTGAATCCCTCGGCGGTTGCCAAGATTGTTGAGGTTGTGAACAGGTGGAAATGGGGGCCTGAATTGGACACACAATTGGACAAACTCCAATTCGTACCGAATATGACCCATGTCGCGCAAGCATTGAAGGTTATCAAGGATGGCGATGCGGCGTTGAGCTTGTTTCGATGGTCGAAGAGGCAACAGTGGTATTTGCCGAGTGATGAGTGTTTCACTACATTGTTTGATAGTTTGAACCAGAGTAAGAATTTCGATGAGATCCAGTTGTTGTTTGAGGAAATGGTAAGGGATTCGAGTAGTAATGGAAGTTTATCGTTTGGTGCTTGTAATCGAGTCATTCAGTATTTAGCCAAGGCGGAGAAATTGGAGGTCTCGTTTTGTTGTTTCAAGAAGATTCAGGAGTCAGGTAATAAAATTGACACTGATACATATAATTCTATCATGAAATTATTTCTAAACAAGGGTTTGCCTTATAAGGCATTTGAGATTTACGAGAGCATGGAAGCTGCAAATTGTTCGTTGGATGCTTCGACTTATGAGTTGATGATATCTAGCTTGGCAAAATCGGGCCGCCTTGATGCTGCAGTGAAGCTCTTCCAAGAAATGAAACAGAGGAATGTTAGGCCCGGATTTAGCGTCTACTCATCGCTTGTTGATTCGATGGGAAAGGCTGGGAGATTGGACACATCTATGAAGCTGTACATGGAGATGCAGGGCTATGGGTTGAGGCCGCCTGTGATAATGTACGTTTCTCTAATCGAGTCACATGCGAAGGCTGGGAAATTGGATACTTCTTTACGGCTGTGGGATGAGATGAAAAAAGCAGGGTTCAGGCCTAACTTTGGGCTGTACACATTGGTTGTTGAGTCACATGCGAAATCTGGTAAACTTGACATTTCATTATCCCTCTTCACGGAGATGGAGAAGGCTGGTTTTCTGCCCACCCCATCCACATACACTTGTCTCTTGGAAATGCACGCTGCCTCGGGACAAGTAGACGCTGCCATGAAGCTGTATAACTCGATGACAGATGCAGGTTTGAGACCAGGTCTTAGTACCTATACTTCTCTTTTAACTCTGCTAGCTAATAAGAAACTCCTTGATGTGGCTGCCAAAATTTTACTCGAAATGAAGACCATGGGATATTCTGTTGATGTGAGCGCGAGTGATGTTTTAATGGTGTATATCAAGGATGGTTCCGTTGATCTTGCTTTAAGATGGCTCCGTTTTATGGGTTCATCGGGGATCAGAACGAATAATTTTATAATCAGGCAGTTATTCGAGTCGTGTATGAAGAACGGTTTGTATGAGCAGGCCAAGCCTCTGCTTGAAACCTACGTGAACTCTGCTGCAAAAGTTGATCTCATACTTTACACATCTATTCTAGCACATCTTGTGAGATGTCAAGAAGAGCAGAATGAGAGGCATTTGATGTCGATACTTGGCGCCACTAAACACAAGGCGCATGCTTTTATGTGTGGACTGTTCACCGGCCCGGAACAGAGAAAACAACCGGTCCTATCTTTCGTGAGAGAATTCTTTCAGGGCATCGATTACGAGTTGGAAGAGGGGGCTGCAAGGTTTTTCGTTAATGTTCTCCTCAACTATCTTGTTCTTATGGGGCAGATAAACCGAGCACGATGTGTTTGGAAGGTCGCCTACGAGAATAAGCTTTTCCCTAAGGCAATAGTTTTTGATCAGCAAATTGCTTGGTCCCTTGACGTGAGGAACTTGTCAGTAGGAGCTGCTCTTATAGCTGTTGTGCATACGCTCCACAGGTTCAGAAAGCGGATGTTGTATTATGGCATTGTCCCTCGACGCATTAAATTGGTTACCGGGCCTACTTTAAAGATCGTGGTAGCCCAAATGCTGAGCTCGGTGGATTCTCCGTTCGAGGTTAGTAAAGTGGTACTAAGGGCTCCGGGCGACTCTGTAATGGAATGGTTTAAGAAACCAATTGTGCAACAGTTTCTTTTGAACGAGATTCCATCGAAAGCCGAAGTCCTCATGCACAAGTTGAACATTCTTTTCCCTAGTTCCGCTCCCGAAGTAAGATCTTTGTCCCCTCCCAAACCTCTCATTGGAGGGAGGGCAATGTAACGATTGAGAATAGCTGAAGCTTATATCAAATTAAACCTCTTTGTGAAATGGAATTTAAACCTCTTTGTTTGTGAAATGGAATGTTTTAAGTTAATTATTTCTTTAGATGCATTAGTCCTTTATTTCTCGTGCTTGTGTTGTGATTTGGGGGGTTCCGGAAGTACTTCTAATATATTCCATTTTGAGGTCTTTACAATGAAGAATGAGGCATGATTGAATAATATTTATGTTGATACTACTGAGAGTGACGTAGGGCCAAGAGAAGAGAAATAGAATTGAAACAGAAAATAGTCATGCCCATTTATTTAAAAACATACTTTTTGAGTTTTAGGCCTCGTTCACTTTGCGGATTCGAGTTTTCAATTCGAGTTGAGATGTGATATTTTCTGAGAGCTTTTCACTATAGCAGAAAAAGTTAGATGTGACATTTTCTGAGAGTTTTTTACTGTAGAAACCTATAACTGAAAACTCGAATCGGTGAAAGGAACGAGGCCTTAGACTTTTAGCTAGATTCCATATTTGCCTCTATATTATTGCTTATTCAAAAAATATTTCTTATATTTTAAACTAGGTCAAAAGTACTCTTGTTTAGTTGCATATCATTTTTAATTTGAATTTGTGTTTAGAATTCATTTGAACCTAAAATTACCTCCATCCTTCTAAAATTCTTAAGGTTCTAACTCATTTTAATGTTCAAAATTCAACCCAAACGTTTTCAAGCCCAAAAGTTCAAAACTAACCATTTTCATTCACATTTTTTTTAAGAAACTCATACTTAAATTTATAGAGTACCGCATTAAACTACATTGCTACATGCATGCATGAAAATTGGGATCACATCATTTCAAAAGAAAAAAAAAAAGAAAAGACTTTTTTCTATACCTAATCTATAGATACAATTTTAAAAATGATGATGATTGTACGGTACTTACTATTTCAATGTTGCTTAGGCATATTTACAAGTGTGTCTCTTGCATGACATAGTCCAGCAACTACGTTAGCGATGTGCATTTGTGGCAGTTCCACGGAGCAAGCAACACCGATCCTAAAGATAGAAACCAAGCACTCTTGAGTTATTTCGCGTCGAACAAGAATCTCGTCGTGAAAGCGCGTTTTGTCCGACGTATTTTCTTCATCATGATCTCCTTGAAGAAGAATTTTGGGATCCAGTATTTCTTCTACATGTTGAGGCAAAGCAAGTGAAACAAAGTTATGCAGGTTCATGTCATCTTTAAACATGTCATCCGTAGGCTTCTTGCCGGTAAACATCTCCAACAAAAGAATTCCATAGCTGTACATATCTCCCGATGTTGACACCTCACTTCCCATGCCATACTCTAATAACACAACACCATAATCAGTTAAATAGAGGAAGAAAAAGTCTTATTTATGAATCATATTGTTGTGCTTGAAATGATACATGTTTTTTTTTTTTTTTGGTTAATTGCTCTTTCTTCTTCGTTTACGCCATATATTATCACTTCAAAAACTTTTGGCACAGAGAATAGAAGACACACGTATAAATAAATATAATTTATAACATACTATTATAACACTACTTTCTTCTCAAATGTAATTGGAAGATTCAAATGTTCTCGGCGGCATAAACATAATGTCAATAATAATAATTTAGTGGGGGTTTAAAAACATAGTGTCAATAATAATAATTTAGTGGGGGTTTAAAAAAGTAAGAAATGGCAATCCCTTGAAATATTGACTCTTTAGAAGCACAAGACAAGTTGGAAGTGGCATAAACAGTGTGTGAATAATAATTTAGTCAAGTTTCAAAAAAGTAACAAGAGTCAATCTCTTGAAATATTGACTAATATTGGGAGTAAGAGACAAGTTGGAAGTTTTTAAGTGGCATAAAGATTATACGAATAATCATGTAGGCCCCGTTGATTTCACCGATTCGAATTTTACTATAGCAAAAAGCTATCAGAAACAAGCACATTTAATTTTTTTATGACAGGAAAAAACTCTCATATAAAGTCACATCTCAACTCGAAACAGCAAACTAAACGGGTGCGTAGTGTCTAAAATGGTTAGAATCAATTTGTAATTCTGCGAAATATTAGCAACTATACTTAAATTGCAGATAATAGGTTTAGTACAAGAAATTATAGACAAGGACGATAAATTTTGATTTTAAATTTACCTGGAGCAGCATAGCCGACGGAACCTCTTAATCCAATAGAACTAGTTTGGTTTGATGAAAATGAAGGCCGGGAATCGTGTGGGAGAAATCTCGCCAATCCGAAATCTCCAACATGACCGGTCATGTCACTGTCCATAAGAATGTTGCGTGGCTTTAAGTCACAATGAGCTATTTTGATGTCGAAATGGTTGTGGAGATAATCTAGAGCATTTGCCACATCAATGGCAATGTTCAACCTTTGAAGGAGATTCAGATTTCCCTCTTCATGTAGCCACCTTTCTAAATTCCCATTAACCATGAACTCATACACTAGAGCTTTGAAAATGTTTCCTTGAAAGTCGATGCTCGAACACGCGGTTAAAAGTTTGACGAGATTCCGATGCTTAATTCCTTTTAAGACTTTACATTCCGCTATGAAACTTTTTGATGCTTCTGAAACTTGAAGGTTTAATACTTTTACGGCAACAACTGATTGATCATTCAGAATCCCCTTATACACAGATCCAAAACTGCCAAGACCAATTAAATTCGAAGAAGAAAAGCCATCAGTTGCTCTAAAAAGATCTCCATATGATACTCGCAAGACTCGAATCCCGAAGGATAGCGATCCCAAAGTTGAGTCACTTGTTCTTTTCTTTGACCAACAGAGAAAAATGAGAATCGACAACAAAATCAATCCAATAATTCCACAAGCAACTGAAATTAGCGCCTTTTGCGTAGCGGATAAATGATGCCTTTTGTTTTCGGTATCGTAGATGCATCTTGGCAATTTTAATTGAGCTATACCTCCACAAAGCCTTGTATTTCCTGCCAAGGAAAATGCACTTACATTTCTGAAAACGCCCTCAACCGGCACCTCACCTTCTAAGTCATTATATGATAAGTTTAAATCTTGTAGAAAACGAAATGCCTCCAAGTATCTTGGAATTTTTCCAGACAAGTTGTTGCGAGAAAGATTGATCTCTTGAGTTCCTTTTAAAGAAGACAGAGACTTTGGAATTGTACCGTGAAACAAGTTGCCCTCTAAGTACAAATACACCAGGCTTGTGCAACTACCAAGAGTATCAGGAAGTTTGCCTGCTAAACTATTTTCAGAAATATCTAGAAGGGCAAGATTCACCAGTTGTCCCACTTCTCTGGGGATCGAACCGATTAAGTGATTTCTAGATAAGTCTAAATACTGAGACAAGGATTGCAAGGCAATCACTTGTTTTGGTATGGGACCACTAAGATTATTTCGAGAAAGATTCATCGCGAGCAAACTCTTACACTCCCCTAGACTTGGCGGTATGCTTCCTCGTAGGTTGTTTAACATCAATGTTAACGCAATTAATGATGTTAAATTTCCTAAGGAAGATGGGATGGCTCCTGAAAGCTTGTTGTCTTCCAAAGAAAGTGAATTCAGGCTCTTCAATCTTCCTATTGTTTCTGGTATATGGCCGCTTAGATGGTTTTCCTCCAAACCTAATGCCACCAAGTTGATGAGATTTCCAATCCCAGTTGGAATGCTTCCCGTTATTTGATTTCTTCCAAATGCCAAGAGATTGAGCTTTGTTGAGAAGTTGCTTATAGACACTGGCAGCACTCCTCCTAAGTTATTGCCGTCAATAGCCGCAACTTGTAGATTTGTGCAGTTCAGAAGAGAGTAGATAAAATCCAAGTCCCCCTCCTCGCCATAACCGAGATTGTTCTTATGAATTGTAAGCATATACAAGTCGGACAAGCCTGCAAAACTCGGCACTTTGCCACTCAAGTTGTTAGTTGAAACTTGAATAAGCGATAGTTTCGACGCATTAGAGATCGAAATAGGAATCCGTCCGGTGAAATGGTTTGAATGGAAATAAAGAGCTTCAAGATTTGGAAGAGTGTGACCCAAGTCAGGAGGAAGACTTCCTACAAGTTGGTTTGTGTGGACAGAGAATAATTGAATGGAAGATAAATTATATAGTGAGGAAGGGATGGTACCATTCAGGTTATTCAGGCCTAGTGCAAGATATGTCAAACCTTGTAACTGGCCAAGGCTATTTGGAATATTACCATGAAAATTATTTGATTCCATGGTGACTATCTCAAGAGAAGAAAGGTTCCCAAAGGAAGATGGTATTTCCCCAACAAAGTCGTTGAATCTTAAATTTAGTACTTGAAGTTTTGATAGATACCCCATACCATTAGGAAGTTTTCCTGTGAGATTGTTACTTCCTAGTCCTAGGTACCATAGATTGGAGCAGAGAGATATGTTGACCGGAATTTCGCCACTCAAGGAGTTGTTCTGAAGCCGTAGTACTTGCAACCGGAACAAAGCACCAATTTGTGGAGGAATTTCACCCTCAAAACTATTGTTTTGGAGATTCAATGTCCTTAGAAAGCTCAAATTTCCGACATGGGGAGATATTTGGCCCTTTAGTTCACACGAGTCGAGGTCCAACATAGTAACTCTTTGGTGTCTTCGACCGCAAGTAATGGCTTGCCAGCGACAAACATGGAGTGAATCATTCCAAGAATTGAGGATGCCTAGCGGATCATCACTTATTTTGCTCTTGAAAGCAAGTAAAGAGAGCTTGTCCGTCTCATTGCTAGGGCGGCCAAGTGCAAAGGAGATTGAACTTGAAGCAGTCATCACCATGAAAATATGGACAACAAACAGCCAAGACATGCTTAAATGAATCATATTGCGTGGGACAAGTTGAATTTGTTCAGGGGATAATTCTTAAGAGCATATACAAGTAGAGAAGTTGAGGAAATTTTGTGTTTGAGTAAGACTGCAAGGAAACTTTTAAATATGGTTGTTAATATGTTGCTAGTATTGTTGACTTCTTATTGATAAATTTTGGAAAATAATGATTTAAGTTTCCGCAAATTTAGTCCAATCACTATTTTTTAAATAATCAGTGCTCCAAACGCGAGAAGAAAAATATGTGCCGTCTTCAAATGCATGTGACGCGTGTAATGACGACTATACATGATTATTTCCTTGATTTTTTTTAACCATGATTACAATTGGACAAAATTGAACTAATAATACTGTTTTTTAAATTAATAATAATAATTGAGACTTTTTTTCCGTATTTTAATATACTAATAGATTAAATTTTTTATTCGTTAAATTTATATAAAATTACATAAAAATTATAAAATATATAAATTTAACAATTAAAAAAATTTAACTTAAACGCACCAAAAAAAAGTCTCTTATAATAATTATTTGTTTTGATTATTGTATAGTTGTGAAGTTTCATTCGGCACAGAGAAGCACCTGTGTTGGCACGTCTAGTCAGTAGTCACCACAGCAAGAGGCATTTTGCAGCCACATTTGTCATCTTTGAAAGTATTAAGAGACGTTTAGTTCATAGATTAAAATTATTTTTAATTTATGTGTATTTTTTATAACAAAAAATATTATAATAAATCATGAACTATAATTTAAATTATAGTATGAATTCTTTTACCAAACGTCTCATTCATTTAGTATTCTTGAAAAAGACAAGAAAAGCCTTATTTAATATCAATCATTGATCTAAAAACGTCAAATCTCAGCCCTCTATCGCACAAGTTCCTAATTATACAAAAAAAATCCCTAAATTTAGGAGATGTTTGTTTCTTTATATTCATTTTTAAATTTAAATTATAATTTATAATTTTTTATAATATATATTTTTTAAAAATACAAGTAAAAAGTAAAATGAGAATGATATTCAGAATACATAAATCAAACGTCCTCTTCATTTTCCACCAGCCCCACCCAATGACCGACCTCCCTTCCCTGCGGCCGTTCAGCTTCCTTCTCCAACCTGCCCATCGTCCGCCACCGCGCCGCCCAGCCTCCGTCGCCAGCCCACTGGACTTCGCAGACGCCGACTCAACGCCGATGCCGTCTCCATCTCCCTTCCTTCGCCACCTCTCCTCCCGAAATGGTATTTTTGTTGTAAATGGAATTTGTGAAATTAGTTTGTATGATTGTGGAATTAGTTTGTGTGATTAGTTGAATATTGTAAATTGTGGAATTTGTGTAATTAGTTTAGTTTTGGTTTTGTTAAATTAGGTTGCTTAGATTAGTCTGTGTGGTTTTGGAATTAATTTGTGTGGTTAGTTGATATTGTTGCTTGTGGAATTTGTTTTGTATAACTAGTTTGGTCACAGTTTTATTGATATTAGTTTGGTTTTGGTTTAAATTCTTGATATAAGTTTGTGGGATTATGGAATTGATTGTTGAAGTTGAGCTTACACTGTGATTAGTTATGATGAAGGCCATTGGTTGATTTTGCAGTTTTGGAGAGGTAGACATTGATGTTTCGTTAGTTGCTTCGAGAAATACTGGGGCAAATCAGAAGATATTATCAGAAGATATTGTGAGGTAGACATTGATTTTTTGGTAGGCTAGTTTTATCAATAATGTTAATTTTTAACATTAAAATCACATTAAATTTTAAAAAATAAAAATAAATAATTTTTAATACAATCTGATGATTGAAAATAAATTCATTTTTTTAAGTGCTTATAAGTTCCCAAAAGCAAAAATACTAACCCGACAAGTTTATTTAGGTATCGTTCGTTTTGTGGATTCAAATTTTTCATTTAAATTGAGATATGATATTTTTTTAAAAATTTTAACTGTAATAAAAAAATTAAATATGATTTAAAATTAAAAATTTAAATCAGTAAAATGAACAAAATTGTAAATTTTTTTTAAAAAAACTCCAATTTTCTATTTGACTAAAAAAAAAAAGCACACTTACACGAGAAAGCCTGGAATCCAGAGAAGCAGGTAAAGGGGATTAATCCCCTGGCTTGGATCAGTAGATGGTCATGTCAACTTAGGTCTCGTTTATTTCACCGATTTGAGTTTTCAATTTTAAGTTTTTACAGTAAAAAGCTCTCATAAAATGTCACATTTAACTTTTTCTGTTACAGTGAAAAGCTATCAAAAAATGTCACATCTCAACTCGAGTTAAAAACTCGAATCCGCAAAGTGAACGAGACCGTAATATCTGCAGTGTGAGGTTTTGGAGGAGTGTTAAAACAGATCTTTCTTTCTTTCTTTCTTTCTTTTTTTTTTATTAATTTTTTTTATTTAGCTGAGAGATATTAAAGCCTCATACTAGTTAAATAAATACTCATTATTAAATGTTGATAAATGTCATAATTCATAATTCTTCACATAGATCGACGGTTAAGAATGCACCTTCATGTCACTCCATGTGTCTTTAGCATATTTAATTAATTGGTCATACTCATCACTTATTGGACGTGAGAGTGCCTCTTATGTCCTTTATGTACTGATTTCAACGGTTACTATAATATTTATTTATTAATAAGTATAATTATTTTAATCATAAAATAATTATTTAATAATTATAATAAATTAAATATTTAATTAAAAAATTTATGATAATTAATAAAATTAAAATTTTATCATATTACATTATTAAATGTTTAAATTTAATAATAACTATTTATGAAAATGTAATCATTAAAAACTCATCTTTATATATATACTCATTTTAAACTCATCTGAAAATAAATAGTAGATTATGGAAACGGAAACTCATGATATATATTATTTCATTTTTGTTGAGAAAATCTCGTGATATATAGTTAATGTGACTTTTATTTTAAAGATTTTATCTGAATTATAGTTATTAATTTTGTTATAGTATTTTTTTTCACAAAAATTTTAAATTTTAAAAATTAAAATTATAAATTATGATTCTAAACTCATACACAATATCACCTAAACCTTTAAAAGTAAATTCAGAGCAAAAAAACCTTTAAAAGTATGGTCTCGTTCATTTCACCGATTTGAGTTTTCAATTTTAAGTTTTTATAGTAAAAAGTTCTCAAAAAATGTCATATCTAATTTTTTTTTACTACAGTAAAAAACTATAAAAAAATATCGGGTGCGTTTGGAATTGATTCCAAAACGTTTTTATTTTCTGTATGAAAATGAAAATGAAAACGTTTTTAGTTTCATTTTTGAATTATTTCTAAAAATGCGTTTGGTAGTTTTATTTAGAGATTGATTTCAGTTTTAAAAAAAACTGAAACTGCGTTTGGTGGTTTAATTTTTGAAAACATGT